ACGAAAAAAGCTGATGAAGCTATGCTAGCAAATTAGGTACTGAAAATACAATTTAGGTCTTTGCGTATGCTTCTAAACTTCATCAGCATTAGTCGACCAAGCATTCATGTCTTTTTGAACAGTTTCAAGCACACCTGTGGTCATTCTTTTTGACAAGTAATAGTGTCTGTTGTTTTGACTAAAAATAAGCTTTGGTAGTCACAAAGCAATTGAACAACACTGTGAGTTTCTTCATTTCATGTAATGTACCCATCGTTTCTACAAAAATCTGTATGATGACTCTCAAATATAGTTACAAACTGTTGTTTAAGAATTAATAAGACCTTCTAATTCTGTATGTGTGTTTCGTATTTAGATCATTTACAACTCAAACCTAGTCCCTATGCGAACAGAGAAACGAAAAAAGCTGATGAAGTTATGCTAGCAAATTAGGTACTGAAAATTACAATTTAGGTCTTTGCGTATGCTTCTAAACTTCATCAGCATTAGTCGACCAGGCATTCATGTCTTTTTTGAACAGTTCAAGCACTCCTGTGGTCATTCTTTTTGACAAGTAATAGTGTTTGTTGTTTTGACTAAAAATAAGCTTTAGTAGTCACAAAGCAATTAAATAACACTGTGAGTTTCTTCATTTCATGTAATGTATCCATCGTTTCTACAAAATCTGTATGATGATTCTCAAATATAGTTAAAAACTGTTGTTTAAGAATTTAAGAAGATCTTCTAATTCTGACTATGTGTGTTTCGTATTAGATCATTTACAACTCAAAACCTAGTCCTTATGCGAACAGAGAAACGAAAAAAGCTGATGAAGCTATGCTAGCAAATTAGGTACTGAAAATTACAATTTAGGTCTTTGCGTATGCTTCTAAACTTCATCAGCATTAGTCGACCAGGCATTCATGTCTTTTTTGAACAGTTCAAGCACTCCTGTGGTCATTCTTTTTTGACAAGTAATAAGTGTCTGTTGTTTTGGCAAAAAATAAGCTTTAGTAGTGACAAAGCAATTGAATACACTGTGAGTTTCTTCTTTCATGTAATGTATCCTCGTTTTCTACAAAAATCTGTATGATGACTCTCAAATATAGTTAAAAACTGTTGTTTAAGAATTTAAGAAAGCCCTTCTAATTCTGACAAATTTGTAGTTGGGTACTTCGACACTACTATTACATATTTTGAATGATTGTTTAGTTTAGTTAAGAGAACAGAGACCCCTAACTCACGTTAATAATCAACCAAGTGATAAATTCAAACTTCCGTTTGCCATAGAAATATCTACTCCTGCACGGACACTGTAAACATTTCACAAACACTTCACTATTTGTAGTTGAGATTGCTTGTTCTAAGCTTCTAATTAATAATCCTTATTAACGGGAGCCTCCTTATTAAGATTTCGCTAATGTTTACATTCATATACTGTTGTAGGTTAGAAATAGGAAACTGTTGTTAAGAATTTAAGAAGACCTTCTAATTCTGACCAATTTGTAGTTGGGTACTTCGACACTACTATTACATATTTGAATGATTGTTTAATTTAGTTTAGAGAACAGAGACCCTAACTCAGTTAAATCAACAAGTGATAAATTCAAACTTACGTTTGCCATAGAAATATCTACTTCTGCACGGACACTAAACACTTCACAACACTCACTATTTGTAGTTGCAATTGCTTGTTCTAAGCTTCTAATTAATCCTTATTACGGGAGCCTCATTATTAAGATTTCGATAATGTTTACATTCATATACGTGTAGGTTAGAAATCGGAGGTGATGCAATCGGACATACGCTGTATATCAATCGGTTGGAAAAGCGGAGCTTTATGCCATATTGTAAAATTATAACATGAATAGGGGCTTACAATCATATTTTTATCGTATTATAAACCGATGATGATTTCAATAAACTGATGAACGTCAAAGAATAATTGCAGCCTTTGGCGGTAGACATCGCAATCTGTAAACATAAAAAACTACTAGATTCATACGATTTTAATGGCTCTAGTCCGGTCCGTTTAGACAATGGAATATAGAATTTTGAATCTTTTCGAAAATGTTATTTTCACGCGTATAAAAAGGACCAATGGTATTCGGCGTGATCCAATATTGGATGAAGCGACCGAACATAAAGCCGAAAATAGCACGTTTCTGACGTTCCGCTCGCAACGCGCTCGCTTTCGTAATACGATTAGTACCTACGATACCCCGCCTAACAGAATCCGGGGATCTGGAGGGGAAATTCAAAATTGAAACTTCAAACTAAAAATGTGTGCATATCTTTGAATTTCTAATCTGCCGGTTTAAAAATGCGATCGGGTAACGTGTCGTATGTCGGTTTAATCAGGAGACTTTGGTCTTTCGTTTTGCGAAAAAAAATCGTAGCTACGTCGCTCCGTAACGCAGGTCCGTATCGACGAAGACAAAGTACGCCGAAAAAACGGTTGTCATCGGTACTTTTGAGGCGCTCAAAGTTTACTTTTTCGAAATTTGACGGTAATTCTGACGGTCAGAATCGTTTTCGTCAGCTCATTATCGTTATTTTTCGATAGCTGTATAATTTTACTCGCTCACGTACGGTAGTAATAAGCGAGGACAGAGCCGGATGACAAGGTGACTTTTTCACGCGTCGAAAAGTAGCGTATTGTCGAGGATTTTTAAAAAATCGAAACTTTTCAACGTAAACGAATAATAATGATGAAAATAGTATTAAAAGAGTGTCCGAAAGCATGGGACTTTCTCACGCAAAAATCGTCAGGTTCGTAGCTCCTTTATCTTCGGAGGAGATAGCTGATATACGATGAAGCAGCGCGCTTTATACGCAAAATAGTCATTCTTGACGACGTTCGAGGTCGTTTACTCGAAACGGGTTACCGTAAACGAAAAAACGTCTCTCCGCGTAATTTGTAGCGCTCGCCGAGATGTACGAAACGCGCACGCGAAATTCCTTTTCTCTTCGGCATAAGGGAGATATCGTAGGTTTTCAAGGCGATTCGTCATTTTTGTCGCTTTTTTTTCGAACGTTTCTAGAAAAAAAACCGAGACGCGGGAACCGAACAGATTTAGCTAATAGGCACGTATTTTTCGTTTAGCTATCGAACGAGACCGATCTCGAGTCGATATTTCGATAAACGGCGAAACGAGTGTGAAATAAACGCCGCGTACCGTCCGGGAAAACGGTGATTTTTTCGACTTTACCGGCCGTTTTCGATCCGATCCGTTCGTCTCGCCGCGACGGCTCTCGCCCGCCCGTAAAGGCGACGAGTTTCTACTTTCCGAAACGGTACCTCTTTCCTTCCGGACGTACGCGAACCTCCTAAAAAACCGGAAAAACCGCGTCGACGTCATACAATTTCCGAACCCACTACCAATCACTACCAATTCCAAAACAATCGATCACCGCTTAATATAGTCGACTAGCGCAGTTTCTGGCATGCTAACGCTATGCCAAATATTGTACGTTGATGTCTTTATTTAAAACCTCGTAGCGCAGTTGCTGGTATGCTAATGCAATGCTAGCGATATATACTTTATCCCTATCTCTAATCATTTTCTATCCTTTGACATGTTTGATCTGGTATCTGGAATCATATATCTGGTATCTGGTATCTGATGTCTGGTATCTGGAATCTGGTATCTGGTATCTGGTATTGGTATCTGTTATCTCTTTATATCTGGTATCTGGTTTCTGATGTCTGGTATCTGGTGTTTGGTATCTGGTGTCTGGTATCTGGTGTCTGGTATCTGGTATCTGGTATCTCGTATCTGGTATCTGGTATCTGGTATCAGGTATCTGATGTTTGTATCTGGTACTGGTGTCTGGTATCTGATGTCTGGTATCTGGTGTCTGGTATCTGGTGTCTGGTATCTGGTGTCTGGTATCTGGTGTCTGGTATCTGGTGTCTGGTATCTGGTATTTGGTATCTGTTATCTTTTATCTGGTATCTGGTTTCTGGTGTCTGGTATCTGGTATCTCGTATCTGGTATCTGGTTTCTGGTATCTGTATCTGGTGTCTGGTGTCTGGTATCTATCTGGTATCTGGTGTCTGTATCTGGTGTCTGGTATCTGGTGTCTGGTGTCTGTATCTGGTATCTGGTATCTCGTATCTGGTGTTTGGTATCTGGTACCTGGTCTGGTGTCTGGTGTCTGGTATCTGGTATGGTATCTCGTATCTGGTATCTGGTTTCTGGTGTCTGGTATCTGGTGTCTGGTGTCTGGTATCTGGTATCTGGTGTCTGGTATCTGGTGTCTGGTATCTGGTATCTGGTATCTCGTATCTGGTTCTTTCTGGTTCTGGTGGCTGGTATCTGGTGTCTGGGTGGCTGGTATCTGGTAGCTCGTATCTGGTGTTTGGTATCTGGTATCTAATGGTCTGGTGTCTGGTATCTGGTACTCGTATCTGTATCTGGTTTCTGGTGTCTGGTATCTGGTATCTGGTGCCTGGCGTCTGGTATCTGGTATCTGGTATCTGGTGTCTGGTATCTGTATCTGGTGTCTGGTATCTGGTTTCTTTTGTCGGTATCTGGTGTCTGGTATCGGTGGCTGGTATCTGTATCTTGGTATCTCGTATCTGGTGTTTGTATCTGGTACCTGGTATCTGGTGTCTGGTGTCTGGTATCTGGTTTCTGGTGTCTGGTATCTGGTATCTGGTGTCTGGTGTCTGGTATCTGGTATCTGGTGTCTGGTGTCTGGTGTCTGGTATCTGGTATCTGGTATCTCGTATCTGGTATCTGGTTTTCTGGTGTCTGGTATCTGGTGTCTGGTATCTGGTATCTGGTGTCTGGTATCTGGTATCTGGTGTCTGGTATCTGGTTTCTGGTGACTGGTATCTGGTATCTGGTGTCTGGTGTCTGGTATCTGATGTCTGGTATCTGGTATCCGGTATCTGGTGTCTGGCATCTGGTATCTGGTATCTGGTGTCTGGTATCTGATGTCTGGTATCTGGTGTCTGGTGTCTGGTATCTGGTATCTGGTGTCTGGTATCTGGTTTGGTATCTGTTATCTCTTTATCTGGTATCTGGTTTCTGGTGGCTGGTATCTGGTATCTCGTATCTGGTATCTGGTATCTGGTATCTCGTATCTGGTATCTGGTTTCTGGTGTCTGGTATCTGATGTCTGGTATCCGGTATCCGGTGTCTGGTATCTGGTATCTGGTGTCTGGTATCTGATGTCTGGTATCTGGTATCCGGTATCTGGTGTCTGGCATCTGGTATCTGGTATCTGGTATCTGGTGTCTGGTATCTGATGTCTGGTATCTGGTGTCTGGTATCTGGTATCTGGTGTCTGGTATCTGGTATTTGGTATCTGTTATCTTTCTTTGGTATCTGGTTCTGGTGGCTGGTATCTGGTATCTCGTATCTGGTGTTTGGTATCTGGTATCTGGTGTCTGGTATCTGGTATCTGGTATCTCGTATCTGGTATCTGGTTTCTGGTGTCTGGTATCTGATGTCTGGTATCTGGTGTCTGGTATCTGGTATCTGGTGTCTGGTATCTGGTGTCTGGTGTCTGGTATCTGGTATCTGGTATCTGGTTTCTGGTATCTGATGTCTGGTATCTGGTGTCTGGTATCTGGTATCTGGTATCTGGTATCTGGTGTCTGGTATCTGGTGTCTAGTATCTGGTTCTGGTATCTGTTATCTTTTATAAGTTATCAGTTTTCATTTTTCATTTTTCTATTTTAATTTTTAATTTTTCATTTTTAATTTTTCTATTTTAATTTTTAATTTTTAATTTTTAATTTTTCGATTTTTCGATTTTTTTTCGATTTTTCGATTTTTCGATTTTCGATTTTTCGATTTTTCGATTTTTCGATTTTCGATTTTTCGATTTTTCGATTTTTCGATTTTTTTTTCGATTTTTCGATTTTTCGATTTTCGATTTTTCGATTTTCGATTTTGATTTTTGATTTTGATTTTTGATTTTGATTTTTGTTTTGATTTTTCGATTTTGATTTTTGATTTTTTGATTTTTGATTTTTGATTTTGATTTTGATTTTGATTTTTGATTTTGATTTTGATTTTTCGATTTTCGATTTTCGATTTTCGATTTTCGATTTTTCGTTTCGATTTTCGATTTTTCGATTTTTCGATTTTTCGATTTTTCGATTTTCGATTTTTCGATTTTTCGATTTTCGATTTTTGATTTTTGATTTTTCGATTTTTGATTTTTTTTGATTTTTGATTTGATTTTTGATTTTTGATTTTGATTTTTGATTTTGATTTTGATTTTTGATTTTTAATTTTCAATTTTCATTTTTCATTTTTCATTTTTCATTCTTCAGATTTCAGTTTTCATTTTTTAGTTTTCAGTTATCAGTTATTTGTTATCTGTTACCTGTTTTCTTTTATCTGTTACTTTTTATCTGTATCTTCATCTTTTATCTGTTTTAGCTTATAAGTTATCTGTTCATATGTTACCACCTGTTACCTGTTACCACCTTTTACCTGTTATCTGTTGTTGTTATCTTTCAATATAGCATGAAAATATCCTGTATACAATTGTATAACAGACTCAGATTTATGTGAGATGCCGGCAACGTCGCATGTGTTGTTGTTAATACCATACATGGCGTTATAAATCTTCACATGTAGCAAATTGTATAGCAGACTTTAGATTTATATGAGGATCGTCGCATAAATCTAAGCTATAACACGACTTGCAAAAAAATGGCGCTTGACACTGACATATGTCAACCGTGTTCGTCTACGGATAGCAGTGGACTATGCTTTCTTCAGTGTATATGTTTTCTGTTTTGTAATGTCAATGTCATTGTCATAGGTAATTTTTTCTAACCTGGAAAATGAAATGTATTTTGTTTAAAATTAAAATTCAATAACTCCTATTGTGAGATGTGTGCATCTACAACATAATGAAAGGAAAAATTAAGATTCTGAAAGTTAATTCCTAAATATCATAGTAAGGAAATCCGTAAAACTAAAAAAAAAGTAAACATAAACACCTTGAGAAAACTTCTTCCGTATCAAGTGGTTAAAGTGGAGTTTTAAAACAATTTTTGTTGAAAATAAGGCCGTTAGTTTACAAGCAGGTATGTAACTGAGCGATCCGCTAATGTGTGTGTATCTTGCTTATAAAAAATGCTGTATTTAGATATTGCTATTCACATGACTACCGTTCTTTGATAGGATATTTTCAAATTGAACTTTTGTCTTATTTTTACTATTTATTGCAGGAGAACAGTTGTTGAACCAGGTCCTGGTGCATACTTATGTAGTTGTCACTTTGTGGATGGGAAAAAAGAAAATAGACCTACATTGTTTAGGTATAATAGGGAGAAGCAATTGAACTTTCCATCGCCAGAAAGAAGAACCCGTAAAAATAACAACAATGTGAAAATTGAACTCTATAATATGTTACTTCAAATTGGGCCCTTTTAAGGGATGTATGTAATAATTATGTGATCTGCAAATAAAAATAGTTTAGATACAACACATGGCATCATAAATTATTTTAATGTAGAGTTCAGTACTCGTATAGGTAACTTTCACTCCCCTGGCAGGCTTAATCTAAGCGATATCACAAATATGTCTATACCAAGTTACGATTATACTGTGCAAGAGTACTTATCTTACAAATTTTGACAAGTAATGGTGTCTGTTGTTTTGACAAGTCTTGGAAGTCACAAGTTCTTAAAGCAGCTACATTCTAAATCGATTTAGATCAAAATAAACAACTGCAGTGGCTGTGAAAGTCTTAGTAATTTTGAAAACTTTGGTAGTAGATATGATTATCAATGCTATTTTTCAGCGCTTTGCATATTCCTTCATCTGCTTGATAATATTTGCCAATCGAAGGGATAGATGACAAGTTTGTTTACTTATTTTCCATTTATACATACTACTCAGGTGAGATACTACTACAAGGTTTTTACAATATTTATGAGTTTGTTGGTGGTAAAGTTCTTCGTTTGGGAAAAATTCAACAGAAGCAGATGAACAATGCTCGCTTTATGATCTGGAGAAAAATGTGCTATCGCCTTAAAATAAAATTTCCTCTATTTTTTTTAATGTTGTATGATTATGATCAATCAATTAGAAACATGACATATAATAATAACATCTCTAAAAATTAGACCAGAAGCTTGAAATTATTAAGTACTATAGTTGTTGGACAGTAAGTAATAGTATCGCTTGAAAATCAAATTTTGTAATCTGTTTCCTCTGATTCAATAATGATTTTTTGTAATCTATGATTAAGATCAGTCTTAGAAACAGGACAGATGTGAGTATCCTTGAAATTAGACATATAATAACAACATCTTTAAAAACAGAATAGAAATTTGAAATCATCAAGTGCTATAGTTTTTTGACAAGTAATGGTGTCTGTTGTTTTGACAAGTCTTGGAAGTGACAAGTCCTTAAAGCAGCTACATTCTAAATCGAAGTACATACATTCTGCATTGAGATCAAAATAAACAACTGCAGTGGCTGTGAAAGTCTTAGTAATTTTGAAAACTTTGGTAGTAGATATGATTATCAATGCTATTTTTCAGCGCTTTGCATATTCCTTCATCTGCTTGATAATATTTGCCAATCGAAGGGATAGATGACAAGTTTGTTTACTTATTTTCCATTTATACATACTACTCAGGTGAGATACTACTACTACAAGGTTTTTACAATATTTATGAGTTTGTTGGTGGTAAAGTTCTTCGTTTGGGAAAAATTCAACAGAAGCAGATGAACAATGCTCGCTTTATGATCTGGAGAAAAATGTGCTATCGCTTAAAATAAAATTTCCTCTATTTTTTTTAATGTTGTATGATTATGATCAATCAATTAGAAACATGACATATATAATAACATCTCAAAAAATTAGACCAGAAGCTTGAAATTATTAAGTACTATAGTTGTTGGACAGTAAGTAATAGTATCGCTTGAAAATCAAATTTTGTAATCTGTTTCCTCTGATTCAATAATGAATTTTTTGTAATCTATGATTAAGATCAGTCTTAGAAACAGGACAGATGTGAGTATCCTTGAAATTAGACATATAATAATAACATCTTTAAAAACAGAATAGAAATTTGAAATCATCAAGTGCTATAGTTTTTTGACAAGTAATGGTGTCTGTTGTTTTGACAAGTCTTGGAAGTGACAAGTCCTTAAAGCAGCTACATTCTAAATCGAAGTACATACATTCTGCATTGAGATCAAAATAAACAACTGCAGTGGCTGTGAAAGTCTTAGTAATTTTGAAAACTTTGGTAGTAGATATGATTATCAATGCTATTTTTCAGCGCTTTGCATATTCCTTCATCTGCTTGATAATATGTGCCACTGTTAGCCAGCTAATAGTCTACATATTTAGATAATTGAACTGAGGGTCAAGACTGAACTCTTACTGAACTTCATAGAAGTGACTGACTACTTACGTTTGCAATAGAAACACATAAACTGTAAACACTTCACACAACACTTTCACTATTTGTAGCTGCGATTGCTTGTTCTAAGCTTCTAATTAATCCTTATTAACGGGAGCCTCATTATTAAGATTTCGATAATGTTTACATTCATACATTGTAGGTTAGAAATGAGGTGATGCAATCAGACATACGCTTTATATCAATCGGTTGGAAAAGCGGAGCTTTATGCCATATTGTAAAATTATAACATGAATAGGGGCTTACAATCATATTTTTATCGTATTTATAAACCGATGATGATTTCAATAAATTGATGAACGTCAAAGAATAATTGCAGCCTTTGGCGGTAGACATCGCAATCTGTAAACATAAAAAACTACTAGATTCATCCGATTTTAATGGCTCTAGTCCGGTCCGTTTAGACAATGGAATATAGAAATTTTGAATCTTTTCGAAAATGTTGATTTTCACGCGCAAAAAAGGACAATCTATTTGGCGTGATCCAATATTGGATGAAGCGATAGTCATGAAGCCGAAAATGGCACGTTTTTGACGTTCCGCTCGCACTCGCTCGCTTTCGTAATACGATCGTATCTACAATACCCCGCCTAACAGGAATCCGGGGATCTGGAGGGGAAATTCAAAATTGAAACGTCAAACTAAAAATGTGTGCATATCTTTGAATTTTCTAATCTGCCGAGTTTAAAAAATGCGATCGGGTAACGTGTCGTATGTCGGTTTAATCAGGAGACTTTGGCCTTTCGTTTTGCGAAAAAAAATCGTAGCTACGTCGCTCCGTAACGCAGGTGCGTATCGACGAAGACAAAGTACGCCGAAAAACGGTTGTCATCGGTACTTTTGAGGCGCTCAAAGTTTACTTTTTCGAAATTTGACGGTAATTCTGACGGTCAGAATCGTTTCGTCAGCTCATTATCGTTATTTTTCGATAGCTGTATAATTTTTACTCGCTCACGTACGGTAGTAATAAGCGAGGACAGAGCCGGATGACAAGGTGACTTTTTCACGCGTCGAAAAGTAGCGTATTGTCGAGGAATTTTTAAAAAATCGAAACTTTTCAACGTAAACGAATAATGATGATGAAAATAGTATTAAAAGAGTGTCCGAAGCATGGGCTTTCTCACGCAAAAATCGTCAGGTTCGTAGCTCCTTTATCTTCGGAGGAGATAGCTGATTTACGATGAAGCAGCGCGCTTTATACGCAAAAAAGTCATTCTTGACGACGTTCGA